ACCCCAGACTCCATACACATGCCAGACTCCACACACATGCCAGACTCCACACACACACACACACACACCAGACTCCACACACACACCAGAACTCCACACACACACACACCTCAGACACCACACACACACCCCAGACTCCATACACATGCCAGACTCCACACACATGCCAGACTCCACACACACACACACACACACACACACCAGACTCCACACACACACCAGAACTCCACACACACACACACCTCAGACACCACACACACCCCAGACTCCATACACATGCCAGACTCCACACACATGCCAGACTCCACACACACACACACACACACACACCAGACTCCACACACACACCAGAACTCCACACACACACACACCTCAGACACCACACACACACCCCAGACTCCACACACATGCCAGACTCCACACACACACACACACACACCAGACCCCTCACAAACACAGACTTTACATATCACACGCATAATACAATCTCCACCCCAACTCCTATCCTACACATAGACCACAATACACTCCCCGTCCACACGTCCACACACCACACGTACCCAACGTGCCCCACAATGTGTGCACATCACAGAACCCCAAATACACTCCCCCACACATAAGGCACCCCACCCCCACGTCCCCCACCCCCACGTCCCCCACCCGCACACACGGGCACCTGACTTCACACGGGGGGCCGACACAGTAACAGACACCGTGGGCGGCCAGCAGGAGGGGGCACAGTGGTGGGCGGGGGGGGTCTCGTGGGCCAGAAGCTCAGGCGCACCCCGGCTTCGGCCGGTCCTAGAGGAAGCCGTGGCACAGCCCCAGAAGGGGCAGCACGGGCAGGGCAAGGGCAAAGCGGCAAGGGGCCAGCGGGGGTGGGCGTGGGCCTGGGGGGCTGCGGGCGGGCTACAGCCACACTGTGTTCACCTGGTACCCAGAGCGCAGGGCGCTCAGAGCAAGGCCAGCCTCCAGAGACAGCACACGCGCCCACACGTGAGCACACACATACGCACACTTGAGCATGCATACACACATACTCATTTGAGCACGCATGCACACACACGTGAGTATGCACACATGCATGCACACACACATTTGAGCGCACACATGTATACACGCACACACATGTGAGCACACACACATGCACACACGCGCACACACGCAGACTTGGGAACGCACACATGTGCATGCATGCACACACGCTTGGGCACACGCACACACACATGCAGACTTTAGCAGGCACACATGTGCATGTACGCACACATAATTGAGCACCCATTAGCACACACGCACACTTGAGCACGCACACAGAAACACGCAGCCCGAGCGTGACAGCCCAAGGGCTGTCGCTGGTGTTCCCTGGCGTCCTCGGGAGAAACAGCCCCTCACAAACACGCCCGGCCCCACGGAAGTGTCTGAGCACCGACTAGCGCGAGACTTGGCGGGGGCGGCTCGGAATTGCTCTCCTGCGAGTCACTGTCACTGTTTGCAGTCACGGGGGCTGGGGGGAGGGGGACGGGGGTTCATGTGCCGTGTGTCCCAGCACTGTGGGGCCGAGTGCTCGCCTCACGGGGGCAAGAGGCGTGAGCAGCCCCCCCCCCCGCCCCCGAGGCCCCAGAACCGGCTCTCGCTGGCGCTCACCGGCATCGCCCCACTCGGGGTAGATTTGGGGAACATCGTTCCCGCTTACGTAAGAGCAGTCCAGGCGCCGCGTGAGATGGCCAGCGTGTCCCCTTCCAGGGGAACTCAGCTGTCCCGGCTGGACAGGCCCCACCGGAGGGCCTCCCACCTCGCGGCACCCCCTCCCCCGGAGCGAGCCATGCGGCGCTGGCCGGCCTTCCCTGCACCCGTCAGCCCACCCCACGCCCCCGCCCCGGGTCGGAGCACGCTCGCGCCCCCGCTGCTCTCTGGGAGGGCCCGCCAGCATCCCCTACACAAGCGTGCCGCGCTCGTCCGCAGACACGTTTCTCGAGTGACCGCATCGGGTCAGCAGCTGCTGCCGGCCAGGGTGGCCTCAGCTGACCGGCCTCGGCCCTGGCCACGCGCCTGCTCTGGTCTCCATCTGCGCTTCCTCCTGTGGCCCACCGGCCGTTCTTCCCCCCACCGCAGGGAAACGTGTTCAGTGCCGCCGGCTCGGCTGGGTCACCGGATCTGAGTCCTTTGTCCGCCAAACTCGCACGTCTTCAGCTGACGCCAGCCTTTCATTGCTTCCCGGTCGGGCGTTTTCACAGAAATCAAGTCGAGATGACAGATCGCTCCCCTCAGAGCACCAGCTCGTCTGCCGCCTCCGCGCTCAGACTCTCCAGGACAGGCGACCTCGCACGGCTGCTGGGGTAAGGTCAAAGGTCGACTTTGAGCCCATTCCGTTGACGCTGCGAGGGCGAGGGCCGGCTTCTCTAGTCCCGGGGTCAGCAGCCCTTTGCTCAAACACTGTTTCCTGGACCCAGAGACCCTCCCCCACGCGGCCGGGGCGCCCCTGAAGCGGATCTGTCCTGACCGACGGCTTCCAGGCTGCTTCCACTCTGCGGCTGCTCTGAGCCCAGGGCTGCAGGGGAGGAGGAGGCAGTGGGGGGGCTCAACCCGGCCCATAGCAGCCCCCTGAGCTGAGGAGAGGGGGAGGCGGTGAGGACAGTTCTGTGCCTGTTTCTCCCGGGGGTCCGGCAGGTGGTACTGACCGTGGACCGTGGGCTCCAGCCCAGGGAGACACTGTCCATGGGTGCAGGAGCGACTGCAGTTGTCAGAGAGGAAGACCCGACTGCCCCTCCGGCCAGGGACACCTGCAGAGTCTGCTGGGACTGGGCGCTGTCAGAGCACAGCGGGCACTCACTGCCCTGGGTGGGCACTGAGGACAGGCGTGTCTGCCTGTCCAGCCCAGGCCCTTGCCATCCGCCGTCAGTGTCTGCGGTTCCAGGCCTCCGCCCTGGACAGCCCGAGAGGACGGACATGGCCACGGTGGGCACCCCGCTTCCATGCAGACCCAGGTGGGGCCCTCTGCTGGCTGTGGATGCTGGACCCTCCTCGCCTGCCCGCTGGGTGTGCCGTGGCCTGCGGACCCTCTGCAGAGGCCAGTGAGGCCGGGATGGGCACAGGGAGACTGGCAGCCCAGAGCAGCGCCAGAGCTGCAGGGAGACAGGTCCCCACTCTGGGCCGGGTCGGGACCCCCAGAGAGGGACAGCAGGTCAGGAGCAGGGTGGTGGGCAGATGGAGGGACAGGTCAGAGGGGGACAGCCCAGCAGGGAGGGCGCTTAACTTGCACAGAGCGGACCCGGGTTCAATCCTGGCAGCCCTGAGGCCACCTGCGCAAAGTCAGGAGTGAGCCTGGAGCACTGCTGGGCGGGGCCACACAGACGGACAGACGGAGAAAAGACAAGGGGCCAGCAGAGGCAGCCTGGACCAGACCCGCACGGCCCCACGCTCTGACCCAGACCCCGCATGTCCCCACACCCCTCACTGTCTTTCCCCTCGCGTTTCCCCGGGTGCCCAGCTGCGTCGACCTTGTGTGAGGGCGGGGCCGGAGCACAGGGTCACCAGGCCGGGCCCTTCGCCTGCCCCCGACATACCCGTGGCCCCCCAGACCCATGCTGGAAGACGTGGAGCATCTGGCCACAGCGTGCAGCCCCCTGCCGCGTGCGTGACCCAGCCCATCCTGCACCACCCGGGTCCCCGGGGCTAAGACTCAGGGACAGTGAGGACACCCTCGGCTCCCCTTGGGACTCTCAGCTGGCCCAGCCATGGCGAGGGGCCTGTCAGGCGCCAGGCTCTCCCGTCCCTGTGCATGAGGGACGATAGGACAGGGACACGCTGGGAGGGGCCACTGCGGTCGCCGGCTGCTCCCGCCCGTGACCCCCTCCCCCACTGCGCCCTGAAGAGACGTGTCAGAGCAGCTCCCGGGACTGAGGCACAGAGATGGCACCAGCCGGCCAGGCCAGACTCTGCAGCCCCTGGCCCTTCCCCCGCCGTGCCCCTCACCTGGGCAGACCCCGACTCTGCCTGCCCTGCCCGGGGCAGGTGGGCGGCTTGGGAATGGCAGGCAGGGGCAGGGCGGACCCCCATCTGCTCAGAGCAGGACCCCGAGAGCAGGTCAGGTGGGCTCCACTGAGCACAGTGGGGCAGGGTGGGCCGGGGAGAGGGCGTGACCGACAGGGGAGTTCCAGGGGACAGTGTGTGACAGTCTGACTGGGCAGTTAGTTCTTGGGGACAGCGTGTGACAGTCAGACAGGGGAGTTCCAGGGGAAGGGGACAGCGTGTGACAGTCTGACGGGGAGTTCCAGGGGACAGCGTGTGCCCTCTGACCCGATGTTCCGAGGACAGTGTGACCTGTCTGAGGAGACTCCGGGGTGTGTGGCCGCGTGAAAGTTTGAGAGGTGAGACAGCGCCTGGGTCCCCAGCCTCCACCCGACACCTCAGGCTATTTTAAGTCCCGAGAGTGACACAGCTTCGGCTGAGGCTTAGGGTGCAGCCCCGTGTCGCCCCCGAGTCGCCCCCTTCGTCCGGGGCCCTGCTGAGCCTCGGGAGGCCGTTGACAGACCCTCCTTCCCGCGGGCCAGCCTGCGCCCCCGCCCCTCCCTGACCCCTGGACCCCCGTCCTACTGGACCCCGGTGGGCTGAGCTGCCTTCTCGGGGAGGCGCTCCCGCCTCAGCACAGGGACGCCAGAAGTCCTGCGCCCCCCTGTGTCCCGGTCGCCCGCGGCCACTCCACGGCTCTTCGGGGATTTAGGCCCAGCCCGGTGCACCAGACACCCCCAGAGCCCCTCAGTGTCCCCTAGGGCTTCCCAGAGACCCCCAGAGCCATCCCTACGAGCCCCCCGTTCCATGGGCTGAGACCTGCGCCCTCCGTGGGTCAGCTGTGGACGCCACTGGCCAGAGAGAAGCCTGGACTTGCCAGGTTGCAGCGTCCCTACCCCTCGGGGGCAGTGCGGTGCCCGCAGGCTCAGGCGTCTGGGCTGGTTCCCACCAACCCACAAGACCCTCCCCGTGCTCTCCGGCGGCGCCGTTACCTCTTCCGGGGCATCCTCGGGCATGGGCTCCACGTCCACGCTGAGGCCCTCCTCGGGAGTCTGCCGAGAGGGAGAGCAGGGTCAGTGCGGGGGCCACCCCCACGCCACCCTGTCCACCCGAGGCCCAGCACCCCTGGGGGCTGCAAGTGCTGCTCTGGGCAGACCGAGGCCCAGTTGGGCTGCCTCAGGCACCTTAGCCAAGCACAGACACCGGCCTCAGTTTCCCCCACCATCAGCCAGCATTTGAGCACTGCCCCAGGAGGGAGGGGACCGCTGGCATTCTGGGGACTCTGTCCCAGGACCCAGAAGCAGCCACCGGTCACCACTTCTAAGAGGCCTGCACTCGGCCAAGGCCGGGAACTGATGGCCCCACCACTGCTTGTGTCGGGCGCTGCGGCGGCCACAGGACTCTGCCACCGGCCACCCGAAGGCTCCTGGCTGCTCTGCCCCCCCAGAGGCCCCGTTTATGTGGGCGGGAGCTGACACCCCTTTGGAATTTCCTGGGGCTCAAAGGGGTGGTCCAGTCCTCGGCTGGGAAATGCTGGCCTAAGGGTCAGTGGGATGGGCAGGGAAGTCACAGGGGTGTGGGAACAGGCACCCACTGCTGCGTGGAACTTTCTAGAACGTCACACACACACATACACACACACACACACACACACGCACGCTTCCGTGAGGACCTTACACCCCCAGGCCTCTTAATTAGCACATTCTTCCTTGTCCACACGATTCACTAACGGGGGCAGAGACACCACCCCGAGTTCCACAGCAGGCCACCAGAGAACAAGCCCGCCGACGCCCAGTGCCGTGTGTCCTGGAGACACTTGAGCGTCTCGCCAGCTCGCGGAAAAGAGGGGGAGGTGCTCAGGTTCCAGTCTTAGCGGAGGGTCCCCCCCCACCCACCATGCCCCCGTGCATTGTGTGCTGATTTCAGTTGCTTGTTGTCATCTACTATGACATTATATAGTTCAATAGAAGATCGTCCACACACTGTTGAACCAAAGAAGACCTAGAGTTTGCAAGAGACAGACCCTAAACTTTCAGAGCAATTGTTAGTGCTGCCTGTGTGAGTCCCTCACAGACCCTGGGGGAATCCCACACAGACCCTGGGGGAGTCCCTCACAGACCCTGGGGGAGTCCCTCAAAGACCCCGGGGGAGCCCCTCAAAGACCCTGGGGAGCTCCCCACACAGCACAGGGGAGTCCCTCAAAGACCCCGGGGGAGCCCCTCAAAGGCCCTTGGGGAGTCCCTCACAAACCACAAGGGGGGTAGCACCTCACAGACCCTGGGGGAGCCCCTCACAGACCCTGGGGGAGTCCCTCACAGACCCTGGGGGAGCCCCTCACAGACCCTGGGGGAGTCCCTCACAGACCCTGGGGGAGCCCCTCACAGACCCTGGGGGAGTCCCTCAAAGACCCCGGGGGAGCCCCTCAAAGACCCTGGGGGAGTCCCTCAAAGATGCTGGGGGAGCCCCTCAAAGACCCTGGGGGAATCCCTCACAGACCCTGGGGGAATCCCTCACAGACCCTGGGGGTATCCCTCACAGACCCTGGGGGAGCCCCTCACAGACCCTGGGGAGCCCCTCACAGACCCTGGGGGAGTCCCTCAAAGACGCAGGGGGAGCCCCTCAAAGACCCTGGGGGAGTCCCTCAAAGACCCTGGGGAGCCCCTCAAAGACCCTGGGGAGCTCCCCACACAGCACGGGGGAGTCCCTCAAAGACCCCAGGGAAGCCCCTCAAAGACCCTGGGGGAGTCCCTCAAAGACCCCGGGGGAGCCCCTCAAAGACCCTTGGGGAGTCCCTCACAGACCACAAGGGGGGGAGCCCTTCACAGACCCTGGGGGAGCCCCTCACAGACCCTGGGGTAGTCCCTCACAGACCCTGGGGGAATCCCACACAGACCCCCGGGGAGCCCCTCAAAGACCCCAGGGGAGTCCCTCAAAGACCCTGAGGGAATCCCTCACAGACCGGGGGGGAAGGGGGGAGAAGCCCCTCACAGACCCTGGGGGTCACAGTGGCCTGTGTCGAGGGCCCTTCCTGATGCTCCCTGGGGACTCAGCTGGCACTGAAGTTCCGCCTGTGGGGGATATCTCGTTTAAACACGAGCAGTTAAACTCGCAAGATTCTAATGGACACTCGGGAACGTCGTCCTGGCGCCTTGGAAGGTAACTGCAGCCTCGGCCTCTGAACTGCCTGCTGAGAGAGTCCGGCCCAGGACCACCGTGCTCCCCACCCTTGGCCCCGAACTGAACTTCCTCCCCCTCCCGTCTGTGACATATCTGTCACCTGGGCCCTAAGAGTGTCCCGAGAGGGCGGCTGCTCGGGAGGACCCGGTGAGTCCTCTACTCCGACAGGGAATCGAATCAGTCGCAAACCCCGGGGCGGCGGAGCTCGGCCGGGGTTGCCGACGGGACCTGGTGGGGTGGTGGGAGACGCGGCCCTGCCTCAGGGAGCCTGGGTCACTCTCTGCGGCCGGCAGCAGAGGCCCCGGGAGCACTGGGCTAACCCCATTTCACGCACGCCAACATCCTGAGAACCTTTGGCCTGAGTGCTCCGCCTGCAGTGCTCCCCAAGAGAAGTGCCCTTACGATGGACAGTGTCCAGTCATTTTGCCTCGCCTGACGACTCCAGCGGCTCAGCTGAGGGTGCGGGGACACTCCAGGAGAAGCCGCGAACCTCCCCACCTTCCCTCCTAGCCCCTCTGGGGCTGGGCCCTGGGGCTGCCCTCCCCTGCACCCCAATTATCGTCCCGCTGTCAGGGGCCTCCGGGCACGCGGGGACCGAGAAGGACCCTCCGACCTCGCCGCGGATTCAAGCATCGGCCATTTTCTAAGAAGCCAAACGTCTCTTCAAAGAAACAAAACATGCGTCAGGCCGGGCGCTTGTCAGCGACGCTCTCCAGGGTGACGTCGGTGCAGACGGAGCTGCTGCTGCTGCCACAGGCAGGGATGCCCCCCTCCCCCTGCAAGCGAGTCCCGGGTGGGACGTGAGCCCAGGGGCGCTGTCTGCGGGGCAGAGCCTCCCCGGAGCCCACGGTCCGACCCTGAACTGGAGGGTCTGCACCCGGGACCCTGGGCACGCACGGACACCCCGAACCTGCGGCCGCCCCCCGCCAGTCCGACCCACCCCACACGCCCCACCGACGGCACGACCCCCCCCAAGCAGAGCTTGCAGCCACTTGTTGAGGGGCCAGCGGTGCGAGCACTTTGGAGCCGTGAGCCGCGGATGGCTGATCGCAGCCCGGACGGGGGCAGCCGCCTGCCACCGCCTGTCACTCACCGGCACCCATGTGCTTCCGGCACACGCCCGCGCCCCGGCCCACCCACCTCGATCTCCATGGGCTCCACCTCGATCTTCTTCCATAGCTCCAGCAGCTGCGCGATGGGCATCCTGCAAACTTTCCTCCCGCGGGCAGCGGGCAGGGGCCGCTCCTCAGGTGGGCACGCGCGGCGCTTCCCGCGGGAGCAGGACTCGCTCCCTCCACTCGCTCAGAAGCTGCCGCAGCCTCCGCCGCGCCACGGCCCCTCCCCCACTATTTTACCTTAATTGGCTCTGAACGATGGGGGTGAAAGTTGGGTCTGAGGGTGCTGCTGCCATAGCGACCGCATAGCAACCAAGGGCCGGGAGGAGGGGGAGGAGGGCGGGCGCGCAGCCAGCCCCCTCCCCGCTCCTGCGCCCTCCTCCAGCGCACGCCGCGCCTGCGCCGCCCGTGCGCACGCACACACACACATACTCACGGTCACGCACATACACACACGCACACACTGTGTACACACACATGCACACACACGGACACGTGTACATACACACTGACACATGCGCACACACACGCTCACACATACACACGCACACATAAACACACGCACACGCACACAGACATGCACACACACAGGCACACACATCCACACGCGCACACTCACACACGCACACACACACACCCTCCCCTTCCTTGTCAGCACCTTTCAGCTGCTGCACCTGCACAGACCCAGACACATGCACACGCGTGCACCCTCCATGCGCACACGTGCACCCTTGCTGCGTCTTTTGCGTCTTTCGGCCGCAGGAACACCAGGACGGGGCACCTGCCCATGTGGGCATGACGGGGCCCTGTACCCAGGAGCTGCCTCGTTCCGCAGCCGAGCTGCAGGGCCTCCAAGGCCACCCCTGGGGCTGGGGGGTGGGGGCAGTGGTCGCCGGGCCTGGCGGCAGCACGGACACCAGAAGGGGAGACCAGGTGCCCCCGACCCAGCGTCCTGCACGTGCCCGCTCCTGGCGGGAGCTGCACGGATCTGCGTGTGCTCCTCCCAGTCTGGTCTCTGCAGTGCTCCCGCCCTGGGCTCAGGGCCACTCCCAGGGCTGCCCGAGGAGCACGTGGCGGGGCCGAGCCCAGACGTCCTGCCTGTGCTGCGGCTCCCTCGGGTTCGTGCCGGAGCCAAGAAGACCCGAGGCTCCCACAGGGGCATCTGCCACCCAGGGGCTGGGCAGGAATGGGGACAGCAGAGCCTCCTGGGGCCGTCCCCTTGGGGCCCCTGGGCCTCTCGGGACCCAGGCAGGGACCGAGCACGCACGCCCACCCCAGCCTCCCCACCCAGCACTCCCTCCGGGGCGGGTCACATGCGAGCTCTGGACAGCGAGTCCTCTCGGGCCATCAGGAAAAGCATGTGCGTGTATGTGTGTGTGTGCACGTGTGTATGCGTGTATGTGTGTGTGCGCATGTGTGTTCGTGTGTATGTGTGCACGTGTGTAGATGCGTGTGTGCGCATGTGTCTACACGTGTGTGCATGTGTGTAAGTGCATGTGTGTGCACATTACATGTGTGCATGTGCGTGCGTGAGTATGTGTGTGCGTGCATGTGTGTGCATGCGTGTGTGTGTGTGTGTGTGTGTGTGTGCGTGGGGGGTCAGCCCAGGCCCCGGTTCCCCCCGCGGGTCAGCAATGGTCACTTGCTCCCTTGGGACGGTCAGGACCGAGCAGACCCACTCAGACCCAGCAGCCCTGGACTCTCTGCTCTTGGGGTCCCGGGCAGACCCCTCAGGCAGACGCCCCTCCCCCTGGATTTCTCCAAATGAATCAATTTCTCTAAATAAAATGATCCACTTCTAAAACACCAGAAACAAATGCACATGAAAGCAAATGAGGTGCAGGCCAGTGAGCGCTGGACACCCGCCCCGCCCTGTGGTCAGAAGCTGGGGTCCTCACAGCACACCACAGCTGAGGAGGCGCCCAGGACCCCTCCCCCAGATCCACAGCCGACAGGCCCACCCTGGTCTCCACTGGGGGAGCGGCAGGAGGGAGCCCCGGGGCAGGGCATGGAGGAGCCCCAGCAACAAGGCTGGCCCTGAATTGCGGTCACAGCCCCTGGCCCCACCCTGTGACCCGAGGTCCATCGAGCAGTGCTCAGACGCCAGGACTGGGGCTACAGCCAAAGGGGACACAGTGCCCTCGAGTCACAGTGGCCGGCTCCAGCCAGTTCACCCTGACCGGCTCCACGTTGCTGCCACTGACGGTGGACAGGCTACCCCACCCTGGACTCAGCAGGGCCCCGGCAGAGGGGAGGAGGGTAAGGAGACAGAGCCTGGGGACGCCAGATAAATAAGACAACCCACAATGGACAGGAGAGTCCGTGTGACAGGGCACATCCTGGAAGGGGGTACCCCAGAAGCCGCGGCCCTGGCGTGGGTGTCCACGGCTGACCAAGTCCATCTCGTCCTTCTCAGGCGTCTGACCCACTTTGTCTAGCACCAAGCTGCCTCTCCTGCAGACACATGCCACCCAGCAGACGCCCAGCACGAGGCCAAGGCCTATGCAGACCTGGGACCCATCTGCATCCGCCTGGGCCTTCCAGGAGAGGGACGAGGGCAGCGGCCACGCACAGTGTCCTCAGTGGACGCGAGCCAAGGCGGGCGGAGCGCAGCACTGTGTCCTGCGGGCGGGAAGGGATGAGGAGGAGGTGCCAGTGACCACAGCTGGCCCCACATGAGGAGTGATCTGACCCCCCAGGCCCTGTCCTCTGACCCCAGGCCTCACTGGTCTCAGTGCTCGCTGCCCGGCTACTGCCAGAGCCTACCCCCGTGCAGCTGTACAGAGGCCCAGGGGCACGCGGCCAGCCCTGTTCAGACTCCAGCAGTGCCTGGCCCCTGGCCCCAACCGGCATGGGGAGAGTCCTGGAAGAAGCCCCCTCCGGCCGGCTGGAGGGGGCCCAGCTGCTGGACTGGCCGGTGGGGAGCAGGGATTGCCAGACCGCCCTCAGTGCTGGCCCTCAGGACAGGCCCTGGCCCTGATGGCAGACACCACGGCTGCCACGCCCCGACTCGGGGTAGGTGATCCTGGAGCCCAAGGTCCCAGTGAGGGGGGACGCGGCCCTTGTCTGCCTCTCCCGCTGCCGCTGTGCACACATCCTGCAGGGGGCGCCAAGGCTCTGCCCCCAGGTGCGAATCTCTGGGTCAAGGGCGTCCTTCTCGGGAGACTTGGGGCCACCCCCCGCTGGGGGCTGATGGAGCAGGAGGCGAGTCTCCACAGGGTGGGTCTAAGGAAGTAGCCAGCCCCAGGGGCTCGTGAGGGAGACCCTGCGTGGACACCCCAAGCCCTGCCCGTGACCCTGCGTGGGCACTCCAAGCCCTGCTGTGCGTGGGGAAACTGAGGCAGGCGCAGTGCCTGCAGCACGTGACCAGGGTGGCTGGCCGGGAGAGACACCGGGGTCTCACCATGGCTGGCCGCCCCCTGGCCCCACCTGTGGGGGAGAGTCTGGCTAGGGGGCAGCGCTGCCCCTGCTCCGTCTCTCGGGGCTGCCGCCCAGGCGCCCTCTGACGAGGCCTGAGCATCTGTCTGTGTGTGTCCTACCTCCAGAGCCGCCGGCGCCGCCCGCGTCTCCGCGCTCCCAGCTCAGATGATGCCGTTGAATCACAACCCGAACACAGGCACAAACAGGCTATAATTTACTCGATTACTAATTTCCAAACTTTTGAAAATAAATTCTGGACAGATGGTTCATTAAAATGTAGTAGAAAACATCGAAGTCTTACAGACACGTAATGAATAATAAATACACATGCGATGTTGGATTTCGTGGTGTTTTTTAAATACTCCCACCTCCACATAGGGAGAAAGGTAAGTTTTTGTTTCTAAGCGCTTATAAGAGATTTAATTGACACATTCTTGTTCGTGAAGTTTAAATTTCTCCACTGGAAATTGTGGTATACTATGAACTAGAAGGGGCCGGAGCAAAAGGATAGCAGGGGAGGGCATTGGTCTTATACGTGGCCAGATTCCATTCCCAGCACCCCGTATGACCCCCCCCAAGCACGACCAGGAGTTGCTCCCGAGTGCAGAGCCAGGAGTAGCCTCTGAGCATCGCCAGATGTGACCCATAAAAGCAAAACAAAACAAAGAGAATTATGAAGTGACGGTCATGAACGTTTATTGCCCAGTTTGGAATATTAAGTACAATCTTTAAGTTGCATGTAGACGGTCTATTGCTTTATCTTTTTTTTTCTTTATCTTTTGAGTCACACTTGGAGATGCTCAGGGGTTCCTCCTGGCTCTGCACTCAGGAGTTACCCCTGGCGGTGCTCAGGGGACCCTATGGGATGTTGGGAATCGAACCCGGGTCAGCCTTGAGCAAGGCCAACGCCCTCCCAGCTGTACTATCGCTCCAGTCCCTGTTCCTCTGTCATTTGTTCCATCCTTCTGCTTGGAAAGTGCCCTGAACTGACCACATACACATTCGCCTGAAGTTTCTTGTTGTTCTGTTGCTTTTCACGGGGCCTTTATCATCCCTGGCTAATGTTCCATTTCCCAGGCAGCTCCTGCGCCCTCGGCCTGAGCCCCCTGACCCTTTCTCGTGGGCCCCTGTGCCCTGAGCATACTTCCTGCAGCGCCATCTGCGTCCCTCACTCCGTGGGACTTTGTCCACTGGCCTCTGCTTTGGCCGGTGAGCCTGAAGGACAGTCTGTCTCAGAACAGCAGGTTCTTCTTATTCCCACTCTATCTGCTCTTTTCAGCTTAGTTTTAAATGGAGTCACGGAGCACAGTTCAGCTTGGACCGTGGTCTCAGAGTCACTAAACTTGCAGGTATGCCCGTGGAACTCGGCCTCCCTGACTGGACTCGATGGGAAGCCCACAGAACTCGGTCTCCCTGACTGAGCTCACAGGAATCCCACGGAACTCGGCCTCCCTGACTGAGCTCACAGTTGTGCCCACTGAACTCGGTCTCCCCTGTAGGAAGGCAGCTCCCTGCCTGGTTGGCGCTGCAGTAACCGCTCCTTCACACAATAGCCAACCTCTGCCAGCATGAAGAGAGGTCAAATAGAAATAGGTTTGAGCTTGAGGGTCTTTCTTTTTCTTTTTGAGATGCATGTCTGCCGTGTTCTCACAACCCTGTGGCGGAAAGGGCTTCCGTCCTCCGCTCTG